GTCACTCATCTCCCTGGAGAACATCTGTCCAAACTTCCTTGGACACTTTCTTTAAGAAAGCAGGCAAGACTCCAGAAAAACCTGCAGCCAGGACTCCTGAGAAGACTCCAGCCAAGAACCCTTCAAAAAATCCAACCAAGAGCCCTTCAAAAAGTCTAGCAAAGTCTCCTCAAAGATGTCCTTCCAAATCAACATGATTGCTATTTACAATATAAATACATTAATGTAGCTATATCACTCATCTATAATTGATCAAGTACAAAATTCTGGGGTATTTTTGGTGAAAATAGGGTATTGGGCCTTGGTTCAGGAACCAATCCCCCATTTATAACATACTAAAAATTCTATCTTCAGCTCCCTCTGCGCAAAAAATGAAGTTTATTTCCTATCTATGGGGACTTTTTACCATCTTGTACCATCTACACTTTTCCCAGGGCCTAATGAAGGGACTTTGATCCTGAAAGCTTGCAGAAAAGGGCAATTTTCTTGCCATTTTCCAGTTGGTCTAACAAAAGGTATAATTTTGGAACTAAGAGTTCTAGTTTTCTGTATGTCTTGTGGACTAAATATAGACAATGGATTTATGACACATTATAACCTGCCTGACATCTGACTCCCCAGGTATCTCGCCACTATTCATCCATTATTCATCCCCCTTCTGTCTCCCCCCCCCCAGCCTGTCTCTCACCCATTGACTCCTCAATCTACTGACTGCCTATCTGGTATGCATATCAGACCAGCCTCTGGCTTCTTTACTTTTCATTCCATCCAGGAAGAGCACACACCAACTGCTGAAACTTCCTTAGCCTGACGAAGGGTTTTTGAACCCAAAAGCTTACTTAAATTTTTTTTTCCAACTATTTAAGTTGGTCTAATAAAAGATATCAGATTCACCAAAGAACCTTGTCTGCTTAAAGACAATTATGCATTCCAGGCCAAATTCCAACTGAAATCCATGTCTCCCCATCTCCCCTTGGATAGGACACACCATTTACTTCTTTGTATCTGGGGCTTTTTCCATGCTTCTTAACTTTAAGCACCTTTCAGCTTAGTATTGCTAGTTGTACTGAAAGGCTCATACTGTCCAGTTGCAGGAACGAGGGCATCACCTGTCCTGTACCTTATGATATTACAGAGATGTGACTTGTTTTGGTGGAATGTAGGCTTAACCTGCAGTGTAGGTTGATACATCATCTTCTCCCTGCATTTTCAGCCTATTGTGTCTTTAGAACAGTAATTCTCAACCCAGGTGCCACAGCACCCGGGGTGCCTTGAGATCCTTTTAAGCCTGCTCTGGAATACCATACAATGTTAGCACTGTTAGGCATGCAAACATAATTCACAACACTAAACTAGAGACATCAAATAGGAATCAGTAGTTTCAAAAACATTTTGATGTGTTGTCTTTTTTTGCAACAGAAGAATTGCTCTATAATTTTTTTTGTATTAAAAAAATGAGAGAAAATTAAGAGCTGACATTTTCTGAGGGGAGCCTTGAATCTAATGAGGGGCACACTGAGTGTAACAAGGGTTGCCTTGAGTATAAAAAGATCGAGAACCACTGCTTTAGAACGACAAAAAAAAAACCTCACAGTGGTTCTTCTTAGGTTGACCGAAGAAAAGCAAACAGGAAAAAAAATGAAAAATGTGTTTCTGACTTTAACAAGGGATTAGCTGGTCTTGTGATTCATATTCCATTGGTTTGACATTTCATGGAGGGTGTGCATTTTGTGGTACAAGTCAGGAAAAGGTGACCTTGACCTTTTTCCCTATTTAAATAAAATCATAATAAGTAACCCACTGCTTGCGGAAGCTAAAATGAGAATTCTGCGAAGCACCACCTTCTATTCATTCGCACAACAGCTACAACATGGGCAGGGTTGGATGATGATGACTGCACTTGCTCTGTAGGGTCTCACTGAGGTCATGTACCCTTTTGTGCTAGGTGCTGCACATGCACACAGTTGTCAATGGTACCGTCCAGAAAGATTTACAGTCTGAACCAGGTTGTCTAACTGGCAGCCCACAGGTCACACCTGACTTGTAAGGGGCTAACATGCAGTCCACAGGCTCCTTCCTGGCTGCCACTCCTCCCAAAGCTCCTGCTGTTGCAGGGGCTGGGGTCTCTGGGGCAGGGTAGCATGGCAGCAGGGGATTTGGTAAGCCTGCTTCCCACGTGGCAGGAGAATGAGGGTGGGACTTGCCCTACCCAGGTAGCAGGAATTGGGCCGGGGGAGGTGGCAGGAGGGGGAGATGGCAGGAGGGGGGGAGGGTAAACAGTGAGAGCAGGGAGCAAGGAGCTTGTGTGGTATGTGACCTGTGCTGTGTGCAGCCTGGGGCCTGTGCCAGATGTGGCATGCAGCCCCCAGCTGCTCAGAAGTTGGACAGCCCCCCAGTCTAACTAGGCAAAAGAGGCAAAGGGTGTAGGACAGGAATCAGAGACAGGGAATGAATATCATCTACCCAGTGTCACTGGAAGGATTTATTACAGAACCCACATCTTCTGAGCTTGTGGACAGACATAATGTGTGAAGTACTTGGTGTGTTTCAAAGGAGGTGTACATCTGTCTGTCTTATCCTTTGAAAGGCTTCAAAGGCATTCGAAATGCTTCAAACATGATATCTTTCCACATGCCAAGGCCAAAGCTAGGACTGTATCCACTAGCCTGGCCACCTGTTTCCTCTTGCTTCCCATCATGTTCTCAAAGGACCAGTTTTCAATGTGAGAGGGGAGGCCAGGTCCAGTGGCACTTTCTAGTCTTTATTTTTTTAAGCCTTCCCAGAGGCACTGGGTGTTGGCTACAGCTAAGGCTGCTGTGGTTCCCCTGCTTAACCTGTGGCAGGTTAGGGGGTTAGATCTATGTTGTGTCAGGGTTGAGGGGAGTCTTACATAGAGTTTAGATTATAGTTGTATGGGATGGTTTGGATAGGGATGATCCTGCTTCAGGCAGAGGGTTGGACTAGATGACTTTTGGAGGTCCCTTCCAGCTCTACTTCTCTGTGGCTCTATGGGCGCATCTACATGTTGCACTATGTCGCTGTAGTGACATGCTACGGCGACGTAGTGACCATGTGTGTCTACACATCACCGGCAGCTACTTTGCTATAGCGGTGCACACTCCCATTTTAACATACCACCACAGTGAAGTAGCAGCTAAAAATAACCATGCACCGCATGTACGGCACAGTACAGGTGGTTACTGCAATGCACATTAGTACTTCCAAAAGTACTGTGCAATAACAACATCACCATAGGGGGACATGTAGATGTGCCCTACGACTATTTGCTGGGACTGCCAGAAAACAGGTACCTGTGGTGGCTGTTTCCACAAAATACATCCTTCTCCCACTGGGGAAAGGACTTCCATCAACTCTGACTTTTACAAGGATTGTAATGAACAAATATCAGATAAAAATAATTCACACTGTTAATGTGATCTGGATTTCAACTGGTGACCTACAGATGAGAAGTTTCCTATTAAAAATCTAGCTAGGGAGGTACTTGTTTGTCCCCATTACTATAGTATCTGAGCACTACCTAAGGATTTACAAAAAAAAAACATTTTCCACAGTCCCATGAATTTCTATTAAATTAAATGAGCTGCTAGATTAAAAAAACAGAAGTGTGACAAAATGTCTGCTCTAGATGACAATTTCAGCTGATTTCTGAGAAAAATTATAGTTCTAACTTCTTTGTTATCCACAGCAGGCATCTCTCTCAAGGCCAGACACTGCCCGTTACCGATACTGAGGGAACACTTATTTACAATTGCTCCCCACAAATTCACTCACACTGTCTGCTCAGTACCAGGGAGGTAGGACCTGCTCCTTTGCGATTCTGTTAGTGTAGACCAGTGATTATCAACCAAGGTGCCAAGGCACCCAGGAGTGCCTTGAGATCTTTTCAAAGGTGCTGTGGGGTCCCTCATAATGTTAGCACTCTTAGATTTGCAAATATGATCCATAAAGTAAACCCAGAAGTTTCAAATAGAAATCCATTGCTGCAATCTTTCTGAGTTCTTTGCAACAGAAAAAATGCTCCATTATTTTTCTGTAGTCAAAAAAAGAGTGAAAAGTTAGAGCTGACATTTTCCAAGGAGTGCTGCAAGTCTATCTAGGGGTTTCTCAAGTCTAAAAAGGTTGAGAATCACTGGTAGGCTCAGTAGACACACGTGTAAAGCAACCATGGCAAAACTCAATGACCAGCACAGAAGCTAGCAGGAAGGAAGGCAGGCATAACTGGCTACATAAGACCCTCGTGTCCATGAGCCCAGTGTGCTGCCGAAGCATGAAGCTGTTGAAATGAGTAGAATTATATAATGGACATTCATTGCACAGGAGCCTGACACTTTCCTCACTTTGGGTGTACTTTGACATGAACTCCAGTTGCCTGTGTGGTGCCAGCAAAGAATTCATAAACCCATGAAACCCGGAAAGCTTTAGCCTCCGTGAAGCGCTTAGGTCAGAATGTTCCTATTTAGAACTGGAGATCTAAAAACACAACCACACAGGAGCAGGGTTTATAATCCGAGGGTAATAAAGAGATGAAATTGCCCAATATTTAATTTAAAATGCTTATAATTTTTCTTCTGCAATTCTGGACATGTTGGGGCAATAAATCAGTTTTATTAGTATTTGAACAGTGGTAGGCAGAGAAATATGGGAAGATTTCATTGGGATTAGGCCTTTTGTCACACATTCAGTGACAAATCAGCAGGGATATTGTCTTTTATGATTGACAGCCAATTGAAAGGATCCCCATTCTTATCATTCTTTTCTAAATCCACTTGTGGCTATCTGCACATCTATATATAAAAGTGCACGTTGCCCTCATCCACAATCACGGGCATTTCCTGCGACTGTTGAACAACAACTTTGGTAAGATCATTAATGTTTGGAGGACAGGAGATATTAATGAGATGTTTAAATTATGGCTTTTAGGTTAAAAGGTCCAGAATCTCTTTCTCTTCCAGTACCCTCAGTAAACAGGGATCTTCCAAATGGATTCCAAAGCTGCCTATAACTCACTGGTGAAAGGCATTGATTCATTCAACTTCACCGAAGATTGTCAGCCCTGTGAGCTTCTGATCACTGGAGACAAAGCTTTCCCAGTTGTGGTGAGTGATAATGGCCAAGTGCTGATTGCAGCATCCCAGTATGGAAAAGGGCGGCTGGTCGTCATCTCTCATGAGGGATACCTAGGGAATCCCAGGTTTTCCCAGTTCCTTCAAAATGCTGTGAATTGGCTCAGATCCTCCCCAGGAGTGCTGATTGGTGTCCATAACAGTTTGGATCCCCTCTCTGAGCTGCTGCTCCAGGCTGGCACCAAAGTACAGGCTGGAGTGGAGCTCAGTGACTCCTTCGGGGTGTACTGTACAGATGCCTATGACTACACCCAGGCAGAGGCTCTAGTCCCGTTTGTGAAGAGAGGTGGGGGCCTGCTCATCGGAGGCCAGGCCTGGCACTGGGCTTCTCAACACGGTGTGGACAAGGTGCTCTTCAAATTCCCTGGGAACCGGGTGACCAGTGTGGCTGGCGTGTACTTCACAGGCAATATGGGAGAACTTGGGACTTTCTCAGTGTTGAAAGAAATGCCAAAGACTCCTCTGATCACCCAGTGAGTATCTTTAATCATTTTACCCACATTTATTCTTTCGGGACCAACTACAGCACAAAATCAAGGAAGGGTAAGTGCAGATGGAGAAGGGAGCAAGAGAACTACACCCTTTGCTTGCCATGCAGTGCAGTCCTTCTCTGGAAGGTAACTTTGTACTAACATCCTTTATCACACCCTAGTGACTCCAGAGCCAGCCTGCTCAGTTTACAGGGGGCAAGACAGTCTCACAAAATAAGCCCGAGACTTGAGAGCTGAGCTGGGCCTTTTCCTTCTTACACATGGCGGCCAATAAGAAACATCCCATGGCCAAATTTTGCCCTCAACGACCCCCAAAAGGTCTTCGTGGGGGCAGAAGGCACAAAGTAAACAAAGGCAGAAGTTCACTCTTCCCTTGGAGCACATGGTAACTAGCAGCTCGGACATTGCACAAGGGGAAATTGATTTTATCTTCTCTTTCTTGGAGAATTTGGCTTGGTAGGGCTGACAAAAGGTATTACCATTAAGGAAATCTGGCTCTGCATATGCTTAAGGTGCAGATCTGCAGAGTAAAAAGTGGTATTTTTGTAGCTACTTTTGAGAGTAAAGTTTTACTTGGAGTAAATTATAGCTGATGGAAGATGCTTGACTGAAAGAACAGGTAGCAATATTATTGCTGCAGAAACCGTGAGAGTTAGTCAAAGTATGCCCCAAGCCTAGCAGTCTTTAGGGTTAGCAAGACATGCCAGCTTCTAGCACTCAAGAGTGTTGTAGCTAGCATCACATCCACCTGCCTTTGACTCCCCAGCTTGAATGGCCACATACCCATCTACAGCTCAGTTGACTGTCATCAGTCTTCAGCATGAGTCCAGTGCAAGCCTTGAACTTGTGTCTTTGAAGATACAAACACTTCAGAAACCCCTGTAACCCTAACTCTTATGAGGGTTGATAGCTTTTGTAACTTAAATATAGCCAAGAACAGATCTATGAAAGTATGGTTGAACACCACTTCAGCTGTGTGGTCTGAGCATACTGACTTATAGCGTGACTTCTGCTGGAGCTGTTGCATTAGCACAGGTCTGGAAGCCAGGGGTGAATGCCACCACTGCTTGCTCCACCTTTTCCCCTGCCATTGAATTCAGTGGCAGGCAAGGAGTTTGGTGGGGAGTGGGGGCAAGGAATGGCAGTGTTCACCTCCTGGGTCCCAGTGCTGCACCAATACAGGCTCTGTCAAAAGCCATGCTGATAAACAAGTAAGTATCCTGAAATGATGAGATCTAGAAGTTAGTTATACTGTTGCAGAAAGTACGGTATTTTCTTGGATACAAGCATACATATGCCTGAGAATAAGACCTGTACCTTGTTTTAGAAGGCAAAATAAAGAAAAACAAATCTTTCCTTATAGTAAGTGACTGGTGCAGCAGCTAGAGAGCTGAGCCTGCTTATTGTTCTGCTTCCTGTGAACTGGGGGTAGATTTTACTTTCACATTTGCCCCAGAAGTGGTGGAAACTGCTCTTACCATATTTCTTACCTATCATGCACATTCCAATTTCCAGAGGCTGTTTTCTGGGAAAAGGTGTGAGTTGTTTATGAGAAAATATGGTAGCATGTGGCAAAGTACTACTTTGATCCTTTATGTAATGTTCTTGGTGTTAATTGTTTCTCTTCATTTTCAAGACATGGATTAAATGTTAAAAAAGACTTGGAGGATCTTCTGAATGGAGTGGTTGAATTTGACATCAGAAACAGCAGTGTCCCCTCGCCTCTCCTGGTGCATGGGTCTTTAGCATTTCCTATTGGATTCGATAGTTATTCCCACCAGTCATTACTTGCAGCTGCTCACTATGGCTGGGGTCACGTTGTGGTAATCCCTCACGAAAGCTATATGAAGCTCCCAGAAATGAGGACTTTTATCCTGAATGCCATTTATTGGCTAGATGCAGGAAAGGGGGGCCTAGTTGGCGTTGGAGATGAACTTCAGGACCTTTTTGCTGCACTAAATCAGAAGACAATCCCATGCAAGCTAACAGACCTTACAGACAACTTGAGCGTGTACTGCTGCACAGCCTACAGTGCTAGAGAGGCGGAGAAGATCCATGAGTTTGTTGCAGAAGGTGGTGGCCTGCTGATTGGGGGACAGGCCTGGGTCTGGGCTAGCAGGAACTCTGATCAAGTTACTATGTTTGGGTATCCTGGCAACAAAATCCTGCACAAGTTTGGGCTTGGGATCCTGGGGAAATATGTCATGGCATCAAAATACTCAGCTGTCCAACCTGACAACATTTCCTCATATTACCACTTCCGCCAGGCACTCTTCTGGTTTCAGCAACACCTTCAGAAAAAACAGGCTCTAATACCACCATATTCTTCATGGCTGAAGGAACTACTGCAAGATTCAACAGCATTTCTGAAGATCTCAGCTCAGGATAATCCGTCTGTCTCCTCCATTCACAAGTTGCTGGCCGAGCTAATCACTGCTACGAGCCTTCCTGATGTCAGCAAAGAAAACCCCATCAAAACCAACTCCGTGGAAGCAGTTTTAATAAGCTTAGCTACAGTGCTCTACAACGCCCTCCCTGAATTCCAATTGCTAGTGCATGTTCCAAGTCAAAATCTTCCAGCAATGCCTGTGTCCCCTCCTGTAACTATTCAGCTTAATGGAAGCAATGAAGGTAGGAGGTATTTTCTGTTTTAATTCTGCATTGGTTTTTTTTGTTTACATTTTTCTAATTCAACAAATTGCCGCTGCCGATCCTACTGCAATGGTGGCCAGCCCATGGCATGTGTGCCACAAATGGCTCAGGTAGCAGGTGTTTTTGGCCTATAAACCCCAAATGCCAAGTTATACCTGGTGCTGGTAATGCAGGTTGGGGCAGCAGTTGGAAAGGGGTCAGAGATTAGAATGGTACTTAGGGATTGGCCAGCAAGGTTTTGGACCTGCAGAAGCCATGAGGGCGGGTGTTTCCAAATGTAATGTTGGCACGTTCAGGTAGCAATGGGATCTGATGACACTGGGTAGTGGAGCTGGCTGATTATTAGAGTGGTGTTATCTCATACTTTGAACGGAATTTGTGGCATGCTTGCCAAGAAAATTGACCACCACTGTCATACTGGATGGAGCTGTGTACTTTGCTTGGCTTAATGGATATGTTCCTGAGAAAATTTAAGTCCTTTGATGGTGTCTCAACTTGGGCACCCAAAATCACGTATCCATTTTGAAAGGCCTATATTCTTTTCTGACTCATGCAGCACTGACAGATTTGCTGCTCAAGTTCTAATCAAAGTGTTGCAACTACGGCAACACACTGGAGGCAAAAGGGCTGCACAGATATTGCTGAGGGCAGCATTTGAAGGTCCATGATATTACTTTTCACTCTTCCATAACCTAAAAGCAACTGGAGGGATTTTGGTCAAAGACTCTAAGAAAAAAGAATAAAAATGTCTTCAGCCACAGTCCAAGCTAGAAAGTCTCAGCCTTAAGGGTGAAAATGTCAGAAAAATAAGGACATATGAAATTAGGGAATTAGAATAGAAACTGCTGCTCAGCGTTAACTGTAATTGTCATGTGACTTAGCATCATATGCTTTGAAACTGGTTCATCTGCTGTGACTTCTTACAGGTCCAGAAGCATGGAGAAGTACTGGCTTTTATATCCCACCAGGAGAAACAGCCACTCTGGTATTTCCTGCTTTTGCCATCACAGCCAACCTGAAGGTAACCATTGCCAGCTCCTCATTACAGCCAGAAGAGTATTTCTCATTTCCTCAAAGTTTGCTTTGCCTTTTCTCAGGCTTGACACACGGACAGTTCTTCCTGACTTTGTGCTATAAAAATCCTCATTTCCTCAGATTACTCTCCTTCCTCTTTCCTTCACAGTTATACCCTTAGTGGGCATGTCTATACATTCATTAATGGACTGTAGTTACCACACATTAAGTTTAATACCTGTATTACCAGGTAGTAAATCAATGTGCAGAACTGGAGCTACTGTGCAGTAGTGCTGGTGCATGCCTTTTAAGTGATGCCAATGCACAGTAGACTAATACTATTGCACATTAGCAAATTAGCACAGCTCTTGCCGTGACATGTTCATGTGTAGTAGAATTAGTCTACTGTGCATTTAGTATCTCATGTATCCCATGGTGTTCAGGCTTGCCACATCATCTATGATTTAAGCCTCTGCTCTAGGTACTTCCAAGTTGATCTGACATTTTGTCTGTGACTGTTTCCCCCGCTTGAAGCTGCTTTTTCTGAAGCAACCCCAGTGCCTCTATGCATAGAAAAGATTTTAACAGCTGGATTCCACTGCCAGGTAGACTTTTTATCTTTCCCCTTCCAATTTTTCATTTGAAACATCTTTTTCCATCTTCTGCCTCCTCATCCTAATTCCCCTTATTCTCTTTTTCCTTCTTGAGTTATTTGACTTTGCCATAAGGTCACGAGAACTACCACTCTGGAATAACTTTGGATTTCATATAATCTAAAACCCTACCTCTGACATTGGTCTGTAGTCAGTTCTTGAGGGAAATGTGCGAGTCCCACAATGCATCTGGCCACACACATAATGCTATAGTGTGGTAGGATTATTTCTCCTTTTAAAAAGACAGCAACAGAAGGACTGGAGTGTTGTCTGATCCTTGAGTTGAGTGCCAACCTAGCTCTTGTCTTCACCAGAGATTTCTGTGTTCTTAGCCAGCAAAAGGTAGACTCTGCAGTTATTGCATTGGTGCAATTTCATCCCAATTTCAAGCCCAAGGTAAGACTGGTTGATACAAACAGTGGCTTTGCCCATCTGCAGCAGTGCGAATATGTTAGTGAGTGGGCATGGCTGGCTAAAACTGGTGTAAGTTGCTAGGGTCCTAGTCACACTGGAAATAGTTTAAATGGGAAAGTCCCCCCTCCCATAGCAGTGCCATGGAAGGAGAAGTCTGGTAACATAATTAGATAGTCTGCTTAGGCACTTGGCTCAATTTTGTCCTTGAATCCCTGTCACCCTCCTCTGAGGCAGTCTGAAGGGTTGATGCCCACCTGGGTTTTTATACAATCTATAGTCTGTCCTTCTGGAGTTGAAGTGTGTTATCTATAACAGACGGGGGTATATATTCAGAGCAACTGTTCAAAATGTGTTAGCGCTCCACTGCTATCAGCTGACTCCTAATTCCTCCTCTAGGTGCAAATTGGCTGTCACTCTGATAACCTAAGCAACACCAATGAGCTAAAGCGTCCTCCGGTGGTGATAATGAAATTTAAAGTTGAGACAGAAAGAATGAAAGTCTCGACTCTGTGGGGTGGCCTCATATATGTCTTAGTGCCAAGGAAGTGCACACTTGGTCAGATATCTGTCACAATAGAAGGTGCTGTGCAGGCTCCTTTCTTCAAGCTCGGTAAGTGGCTGCTGTCCCTCTTGAGACAAAGAAAGTAAAGGAATAGTTCCTTGTTCATGGACTGGACTGTGTTTTCCTGACATCTTACACTGACTGCTTATATGAGAGACATCTTAGTACCCATGGTACAGTAATTTATTTTAAGGACTCTCTCATGAACTTACTGAAGAAGGTGTTGTGCTCCTGGCTTTGAGTCCTAGCTAGTTAGTCTGACTGCTGTCTCCTCAACAAATTCTAAACCACTTCATTTGAATGTACTAAAAAGGTTTCTGGGTTGAACAATCTTTTGCTCAAACTGTGACAACATCCATAGAGTCATTGGTCATGAACAGTCACCAAGATAGGTCACTATATGCTTCCTGCAAGTCTAGCAGTTGGTGTGATCAACACTCCTCCCCAGCCTCCTCCCTGAAAAACCAGACTGCTCTATCCACATGAGCTTCAAATTTACTGAGCTTTGCTGGTAAGGTTAGGGTGGTGGTGTTTTCTATATTGCAAAGCAAAGCAGTTTATTAAGTCAGTTATTTCTTGTCTGTAATGTTGAACTAGGGGAAACCAGCACCTCTGACTGGCAGGAAACCATCCGCCTTTACCCTGCTCCCTGGGCTGAGCTGGCCGTGGACAATGTCATCCTGACAGTGCCTGCTGATAGTGTGCGCCAGATACAAAACCCGGAAACTCTGCTCTCCATTTGGGACCTGAGCATGAAAGCTGTGGCTGAGCTGGCAGCCATACCAGCCACGTTCCCAAGGCCGGAGAGGATTGTGGCAGATGTCCAAATATCTGCTGGCAAGGAAAATTATATTCATAACATGTTACCTTTCTTTGGGCTTACTAGGTTCCATGGTGTATTAATATTATAATCAGATCCTGCAAATGGTTGTTCTCCTGAACAGTCTCATGGCCTTGGGGAGATGGGTCACATGAGTAAGACCTGTTTCTGTGAATAAGATTTTCCTCTATAGGACTTACATCACCTGCAGGTGACTGTGGGACAAAATGCAGGTGACTGTGGGACAAAGTACAGCAACTTTTGCAAGAGAGACTGACTGGCTCATGTAGGATGACAAATAACTTGTACCCTGTGGTAGCTACTGCTGTGGGGGTGAGGATGTGGAGAGTAAAGGTGGGAATAATGGAGCCAAGGCTAGTTGCTGTGAATATTGCTGGTGGGATGAGGAATTCAGCTGAGGGACAGGTGGCCCAATAGATAATGTGACCTTGGAGTTACACTGGCAAGAAGGAAGTCTATGTGTTTTGTGTCAGCAGAGTACTACTTTTTGCAGCTTAGAAAACAATTACAGATATAAGACAATTCATTGTCTAAGCACTCTTTAGAAAGTAGGACCCAACAGGTGTCTTGAGGGTGATGGTCTCTCAGTATTTATGTGCTTCCTTCCCTTTAGGTTGGATGCATGCTGGCTACCCAGTCATGGTGCATTTGGAGTCAGTGACAGGCATGACAGATGTGCAGTCCATCAAAACCAAAGGCTTTTGGGGACCCATACATGAGCTAGGTCACAACCAGCAGCAGGAGGGATGGGAGTTTCCCCCTCACACAACTGAAGCCACCTGCAATCTCTGGCCTGTTTATGTGCATGAGACTGTGCTGGGGATCCCAAGGGATAAGGCCCATGAGGCACTTAAACCAGAGAAGAGAGAAGAGAGGATTCAAAATTATATTAACAACGGAGCACAGCTGAAGGGCTGGAATTCATTCACTGCTCTGGAGACCTACCTGCAGGTAACATGCACCTGAATTAACTGCATAACTAGCATGCACAGGGGACTGAGAGTGGGTCATTTGAAGATATATCTTTCCCTTTTCATTCCATCATCTCTTACTACACAACTGTTTTCTCTCTTCCTCTGATGAATACCAACCTCCAAGCAATAGCCCCTCTGTCTATGATACCACTGCATCGCTCAGACTCAGGTGGGGTGGCCCTGTTCAGTGCCTGGAGAGAAGAATTCAGC